AAAAAAGAAACCGGTGATTGTAATTCAGTTATCATTAGACCGCTGGTCTCGATCGATCCCTTACGGTCAATCTTAGAAGATTTGTCCTTTCTGGATAACCCAGGAAAATCTGTAAAAGCTTGAACCATTTCCACACAACAAGTATTAACCAAAAAAATCATTATCTCAAAAAATTATAAGGAAAGAATATGCGGTAAACTTCTACGTCTCCATGAATTCTTTCCTTCAAATGAAAAGTAAATTGAATACATTTTACTGTTAAATTTCAATGACAATAATCTTTTAAAAAGTACAGTTGACTGCAATTAAACTAATAACCTGACAAGAAGATAAACTTTTATCACTGTAATTCTGATTGATCAGATACTAAACTCTAAAACTTAAAGCACGGAAAATATCTCCGAAAACAAACAATTTCTTTAAACGATACTTAAGAAATAAAATTAAAGTTGGATTCTAAAAAAAAGAAGTGGTCTGCATTGGCTATTCTTGACGTCATCTGCGAGCGATTTGTCATTCAATTCACTCTTTACAAGTAAATAACGCCACGCATTACCAACAACCTTTACAGCAGGTCAACTTAGTTTTAAAGCAGAAAATAAAGATTTGCTATTCCAAAAAATTATACGCAAAGCATTACGAGGCAGAAAAAAAAATAAGAAAAAATTTAAAAAAACTAACTCATGACCAGAGCTCCACCATTTGAGCTTGCAGGAAGTTCGAAATTTGCAGATGGCTGTAAAAGGAGCAACCGATCAGTAAACATTCAAAACTATAGCCGTTATAGGGTTAAAATTTTGAGGAAGCTTTTGAACACCTAGTTACATAATTAAAAATGCTTACTGTGGAAACCACCATTATCCGGTCGTAAAATTTCAGTTCTTCTTCTGGCGCTCGCAGGGCCCTTTGCGCATCTCTGATCTGTCTAAAAATCAGCTCGCAATATGCAGTATAGATTCACAATTCTTAAACCAAAATATTTGCAAAAGCTGCCGTTTATTTGTTCTTTTAACAAAATTTTTTGACCGTAAATTTCAAAAAGATGAGGTAATTTGACACCATATCTGTGAAAACGACACACTTGAATTCAACTTCCGCTACAGATGATACAAGGTCCTTGGCAGAACCTGGCTCATATAATGAACGTCGCCTTTCATTTGAGGTGAGTTGACAGCTTAAGACCTAAACATTTGACGAACGGTCTTTGGTGGGAGACGAAAGCAACGCTACAAAGTTAAGAATATCTATTCCCCATACTTTGAAGCAAAGAGCGTGTTAAAACGACAAAGTAGTTGAAGGAGACTGCTCAAGAACCAAGGATAAAAGAGGCTGTGGTTACAAAGATACCTTCCCAAATTTTGAAAAAAATGAAGTTAGCTGATTGCAAGTGACGTGCGGAGCGATGTTATTAACGACAATTCGTCTGCTAATTTCCTGGTTAAAGATTTGGGATTGCTCAGCACTTGATAAAAACTGATCGTTCGCAAAAACTTCGTTATCATACCAAGAAGTTGTTGGAATAGCTAGATCATCTAAAGAAAGACAACGACATTTTCTGTTTTATTTATACTAATTTTTAACAAAATTCGTAACCAAAAAAATAAATAAATAATGCATTTTCCGAGTAAATGAACAATACATTTAGCCAAAATATAACCTGTAAACGAATCTTTATGATCATCTTCAGAAGTTAACATTGGTAGCAAACGTCGATATTTCAAAAATTCTACAGCAGAATGTGACCACGTTCGCCTGAAATCAAATGAACAAAAAATACTTGACAGCTTTTTATAGGCTGCTGCTTAAACGCATGTGTTTCAAAACAGAGTGAAGATAGCGTTCAAAAAACAAATTTGTTAATTCAAGTTAAATATGTGAGTTACCTTATCTTGGAAATGCTAAAGTATTTAGCGCGTGTCATAAAATTCTGGAACGCTTCTGTGAGATTGTTTAAGCCTTGATTCTCCAAATTTTGGCCATGCAAACGCCGTAATGTTTTAAAGAGAGCCTGTAGTAAAGCAATATGATTAATGAAACAAATAAACCAATTTTCACTGAAAAATTCTTGCATCACTAGTAACTTTAGAAAAAAGAAAGCATAAGTTTTTGATAGGATAACATAAGTAAAACATTAAAAGAAAGATATAATTCTATTTTCCATAAATGTCAACTAGTTCATTGTGTTTAATGCCTGAAAAAAGGTACAATTCTGACAACTATAATTTAAATATCCATACATTTTTTTTTTTTGCAGATATTCAAAAAATTCAATATTCTCATGACGTATAACAATTTGTGTTATTACAGAATCATAAAATAAGTAAAACACTGAAAGAAAAATATAACTTCATTTTCTTCTACTTATAACAGAAATCGATGCAGAAGAAGTAAATGATAACTAACCGCTGGTTTTGGGTTTAAACTATCAGCACCAAAATCCAGATTGTTGCTTTTCTTCCAGTTCAATTTTGATTTTGCAGTCATTTTTCCTTTTTCACGTTTTTTTCTTTAACTCCTCTACTTGCTCAGTTGGTAACCAATAAAAAACTGAGCATTCCAGTCCTTCTGACAACGTCAATAGTAACAACAAAAGCAACAACAGCCCTTGAAGAGAATAAAATCGAAACAGAAGTAACCTATCAAAATATAATGGCCGATGAAAGCGTCAAAAATTGGCACCATAAATGTCAATTAGTTCATTGTGTTTAATGCCTGGAAATAAATTTCATAAAAGTTAAAGCAAGTGATTTAAACACGTATAATTCTGACAGCTAT